CCCGGAGGGTGGGGCCGGCGTGGGAACCCTACAGAAGCCGGGCTCTCCGGGGAGGCGGCCCAGCTGGGGGCAGCTCAAGTGGGGCGAGGGAGCTGTCCCCTGACCCAGTTAAATTCAAGTCCTTGACTTTGAGATTAATGAGAAGGCTCGGCTGAGCTGGGCACGGGTGGGGGGGGCTGGGAGTTCTGGGGCCCCGGCATGGGTCCCGGCCGCGTCCGCCGGTCTGAGCCCCTCCGGTCTCTCCTGCGTTGCTCCCGGGAAGGGAGCAGGGGCCGGGAGCTGGGGGGTCCTGAGAAAGCGGGGAGGGGACGTGAGCTGTGTTCTGAGCTATTTGGGTCATGGCTGGCTCGGGCGTGATCTGCTCTTCCGCGCCTACTCTTCGCCGCCCCCTCTCCCACCAAACGGGGACCGCCGTCCCGCGCCCACAGCCTCGCGGTTACACAATCGCAGCCCGCACCGCGGTCCCGATCTCCCGGGCTCGGCAGGGACGTCCGCCCAACGCCCGGAGACCCCGAGGCCGCGCGCGGGGGTCCCGCGCCCCAGCCTCCGCCAGGGGCATCGGAGAGCCGCGTGCGCCCGGTGCCCGGCGTCAGGGTCACAGTGCGGGACACGCGGGCACAGTCGCACACCCCGGAGGACACTCCGCTTTACGGAGACGCAGCCAGGGACCCTGGGACACGGGCCTGCAGGGACACACAGTCACATGCACACACTCACATATGCACACTCGTGCTCACACGCGTGCTCCCACCCATATCCACACTTATACACACGTACCCATATGCTGAGTCCCACTCTACACGTGCACGCGCACACTCACACATATACACATGTGTGCTCACACACCCACACACGTGCCTATATACTGACTCCCTCTCGGCACACACACACTCATATATGCACATGCATACACTCACACACACTCACATATGCTCACTCTCATATACTCTCACACTCACATACACATATATGGGTTCACACACCCACACATGTACCCACATGCTGACTTTCGCTACACACACACACACACACACACAAACACACACTCACGTGTATCCAAGTTCAAACGTTTACTTGACACATGCACTCACATCTGCACACACATACACTCACACATATAGACACACACACACATGCACATTATCACACATGTACCCATATGCTGACTCCCATTCAACACACACATATGCTCACACACCCACACATGTACCCACATGCTGACTTTTGCTCGACACACACACACACATATACTCACTTTCATATACACTGACACTCACATACACACACATCTACTCACACACCGATGCATATACCCATTTGCTGACTCCTGCTTGACACACACTCACATATGCACACACACATTCACACACATATATACACATTCACACATATACACACGTGTGGTTACACACCCACATGTGTTTCTATATACTGACTCCCACTGGACATAAGCACACTCACATATGCACACATATGTACTCATGCATACATGTGTGTTCACACACCTACACATGTACCCACATGCAGACTTTTACTTGGCACACACTCACATCTGCACACACAGGCACTCACACATATAGACACATACACACACATGCACGTGATCACACATGTACCCATAAGCTGACTCCCACTCCACATGCACACACATATATACCCACAAAAATATACACATGTGTGCTCACACACCCACACATGTACCCATATGCTGACTCCCACTCAACACACACTCACATATGCACACACACACTCACATATACTTACTCTCATATACACTCACACTCACATATACACGTGCTCACACACTCACACGCATATACACCGACTCCCACTCAACACACACACTCACATATGCACATATCCACACATGTACCCACATGCTGATTTTCACATATATACACACACACTCACACATGTGCATGACCACACACCCACACACGTAATCATATGGTGACTCCCACTTGACACACACATTCATGTATGCACACACATACACTCACACATGTATACACACTCTCTTACACATATACATACTAATGCTCACACACCCACACATTACTCATATGACTCCCACTCACTCAACACACTCACATATTTACATGCACACTCACATACCCACTCCCATATACATACTTACACAGTGCTCACATACTCTCACTTGACACACTCACACTCTCACACATCTATACACGCTTATTTCTCATGACATACAACACTCAGATACACACACTCATCACATATACGTGCTCACACACACACATTGCACACATATGGACCCTCAACACACACAATGCACACTTACACACACTGTACTCACACATAGGCATGATCAAACACACTCACACACACTCACACATACCTGCTCTCACACTTGCACACTCACATGTCCACTTACACACATATACATGATCACACATGTGTGTGCACGTCTTGACACACTCAACACATACGTTCTCACACTCACACATGCACACATATATTGGCTATGTCACTGATTCTCACACTAATACACTCACACACTTCCTCACACACACGCACACACAACCAGACACCACTCACAGGCTCAAGACCTGTGCCCAGAACATACAAATGCCCACAGATGTACTCTGTCATCTGCAGACACAGGCACACCCACAGTACACGTACCTCACACACGTATGCTCAGGTGTACCCTCATCTCATGGCAGACTGCTCCGTCAAGGACATGACATGCAGACTCACACCAGAAATACAAACACCGCACACACTTGTGACACACACCACTGTGAGGGCAAAACCAGAAACACTGTGGTTCAGGCAAAACAACCTTGGCAAGTCCAGAGGCATAACTCTGGTCCAGACGTTGCCACCTGTGTGGTTCAGGGCAGGCCCTGCACAGATAGGACAGCACAGATCTGCTGTAAAATCCCCACCACATGGACAGCCCTCTTATTCCTCAAGGCTTGTCCAACTACAGAATGTTTTATCTGCCTGCCCATCTCCCGAGCTTCAATCTTCCCTGCAACTCTGTCCCTGATTGTCTCTCTGATCCTCCATTACTTGGTCATTCTTTTTCTCTGACTCTTTTCTATCTCTGATTTGATCATATTTGGTCTCTTTTTCTGTCTCTTCTCTGCACCTCTGTTTCTTGTCTTTGTAACTCTTTTATTCTCTCTCATCTCTCTCTTCTCTCACTCCCTTTCTCATTTCCCCCTCCTCATCTCTGTCTCTCTGTCTCTGTCTCTCTCTCACTCCTCCCCATCTTTCCTCACCTAGTCTCTATTCCTGAATCTTGTATGCGCAAACGCAGACACAAACACACACACACACACACACACACACACACACACACAGCCTTGAAGCCCCCCCGCCCCGTGGCTGTCAGCTCACGCTGCAGTGGGGTGTGCAGCTCAGCAGGGGTGGCAGTGAGCAGTGATGGGGAGGACTCGCAGGGAGGAAGGATGAGAAAACATACACACTTCCCCCAACCCGGCACATGGCACCAGGAACAGCCCCCACCCCCATCCCACACAGTTCTGGGGGAGCCTCAGCAGGTCCTCGAAGATGCTGCAGCCCAAGTGCCGGCTGCAGTGAGAAGGAAACTGAGGCTGGGAGAGGGGGAGAGCCCTGTTAAGTGCTCACAGCAGAACTGGAGGACCCCCATTGGAAACTCCCTCCAGCAACCTGGTCCTCAATCCCAGGGCCAGTCTTTCCCCAGATCTAGCCAGGGATGTCCTCCATTGCCAGTCGAACATCCCAGACCCAGACCAGAACCCCGGCCATGCAGGAAGGGGGTTAGGACCCGCCAGCACCCTCTGAGATCTCATGTCATCCCCAAGGCTTGATATCATCCCCTTCCCCAGGCCCTGTTGCTGCTGGCGGCCTTGGCGGGCCTGGGCCTGGGTCTGAGCCTCATTGTCATCGCTGTCTACCTCATCCGCTTCTGCTGCTGCCGGGCCCCCGAGCTCCCCGGGTCCAAGAGCCCCTCGCCAGGAGGAGGCTGTGTCACCTGGAGCTGCATTGCCGCCCTTCTCGTCGGCTGGTAATGGGGCCCCAGGGTGGGAGGGCAGTGGAGACAGGGCTCCCCAAGCTCTTCAGCCTTCCTGGTAGTGTCCTGGGCCATGGGGAAGCCGATAAGAAGGAAGAAACCCTTCCCCACTCCCTCTTCCCTCACCTCCCACACTACCACACTTCAGCCTCACAGCAGAGAAGATTGTCTCATTTGACGGATGGTGAAACTGAGGTTCCAGAGGGGAAGTGACTTTCCCAAGGGCAGCCAGCCTGGCGGGGATTGGGGGGTCAAGAACTGGGCAATGGTCACATACTGGTCTTGGTGGCTCTCCCATGGGACAGCTGTGTGACCTGAGGGAGTGATAGACTCTGGGTCAGTTTCCATAAAATGGGCATCATGGTACCACCCACATCCTGGTTGTGGTGAGACTAAATGGGAGAATGTTCAGTGTCTGGTTCACAGTTGTACATGACGAATGTTACCTCGTGATGTCATTCACTCATTCACTAGCTCACTCATTCAACCACTATTTATGGAGCACCTACTATGTGACCAGATACCCAGCAAGCCAGATGAGGAGTCTCTCATGCTGCATTCACTCTGATGGGGGAGACAGATGATAAGCAGAGTCTTAGCACCCAAGAGCATCCACTCTGTGCCTGCCCCCAGCCTGTCTAATCCCTTCGCCCAGTAATACTGCTGGACTCAGGGCTGTGGTGACCAGCCATGAAAGAGGAAGGCTCAGGGAGAGGGGAAGGGGGAGGCAACTTTCCCAAGTCATGATTAGAGGCAGAGTAGAGATTCAGACCCACGGGTAAGAACCTCAAGTCCCTCAGGGAAGCTGGGGGTGGGGGCTTCTCACATGCAGGCAGCATTTACCTGGAGCCAGTTCTGAGCACAGCTACCCCACCACACACACACACACACATACACACACACACACACCAGGTCATAGACAACTGTCCTAGTCCACAGATGAGGGGACTGAGATCCCAGAGGGCAGAGGACAGCAAGTGCAGGGTTACCCCCAACCAGCTAGGGGAGTGGCCCCAGGCAATCACCCTAGTTGGGCCCTGGGCCACATGCCCTTGCAGTGGGTGTGTTTGGGAGTGTGGGGGTGGGGCTGGGTGCCCTGTATTCAAGAGGCTTCCTCATCCTGCTCTCTGGAGTGGGGGTGGATAGGGAGGTGGACAAAGGCCCAGTGGGGGAGAGACACTGCCCCAGCCCCCGCCCCCAGGAACAAGAGGAGCTTTGTGGGACTCTGGACAATGGGGCGGGGACGCCGGGCGTTGGATCTGAGGGCTGGCCAGGAGGCCTAGCTGGGGCTGGGAACCGCGAGGCCGTCGGGCTCCCGCCCCCTCCATTGCGGGGGACACAGGCAGTGGGGGAGGGGAACAGAGCCCCGCACCCAGGCCCCACAATGGAGCTCTGTGTGTTGGCGGGGCGGGGGCAGAGGTACCGGCTCCTGGCCCATCCTCCAGCCTCCCTTCCACATTCCCTGGGTCTCCTCCCAGCTGGCCAGACGCTTGGGTCCTGAGGTGGGTGGGAAGGCTGAGCGCTCCAGGATTGGTGTCCCCCAGGAGATGATGATGGCTGGGTGGCCCTACAACCCGGGAGGAGAGGTTGGGGGATGCCTGGGCCCTGGAAGGCAGGTACTGGGAGTCCCCGGACTCCAAGGGCCCTGGGACTCCTAGGACCCCGGGGCTGGGCGTGACTGGGGTTCCGCTCGGAGAGGTGCGAGTTAAATTCTGGGGGCTCCCTCCCCTCCGCCATTCCACCCACCATTAGCATCACAATGACGTCCTTGGCTGGGGGAGTGAGGCCTTCCCGTTACCTTGGAAACCGGTGGGGGCCAGGCCCAAAGTCGTCCTTTTCCCACGGCAGCTGGACCAATGGGGTGGGGGCGGGAGACGGGATGGGTGCATGGGGGCAGAGCAAACAGAATGGGAGAAGACGGCGGCCCCTGAGGGTCCCTGCTTGGCTGAGACTCCCCTCCTTCTTCCCCCTCTCAGCGCCGGCATTGGCATCGGTTTCTATGGCAACAGCGAGACCAGCGACGGGGTGTCCCAGCTCAGCTCGGCCCTGCTGCACGCCAACCACACGCTCAGCGCCATTGACCACCTGGTGAGGGGCCCGCAATGGGTGAGACCCCATACCCACAACCAGATTGGTTCCCCACACAGAGGTGTTGGAACCTTACACCCAGGACAGAGGGATCCAAAAACTTGGAGCCAAGAGCTCAAACCTGAAAAGTAGGACCCCAGACTCAGAGCTTTGTGCTCTGGCCTGGACACTTCGGGCTGTGCCCCCAACCCCAGACCCTGGCTGTGACCAAGGACCTCATACCTGTGACCCTCAGCAGCCAAACCTTAGACTCCCACCCAGGCCCAGCTCTGAACTTCAACTGGTAGCACAAACCAGACAGAGACCAAATGCCAGGAACCCCAACCCCTGCCTTGGTTTAGGTCCAGAGCCCCAGACGACCTTTTTGGCCCAAATGCAAGCTCAGCCCTCCAATCCTCAGACCCAGGGCCCAGACTCGAGGCCTTGGCTCTGAACCCTGGCCCCAGGATTCTGGAACCTGGGCTGAGACCTGGCCCCACCTCATACCCTAGGTTCCATGTCCAGCAGCAGCCCCGGGACCATGGGACCCAGACGTGAGACCCCAGACTCAGAAGGCAGATGTAGACTTTAGACCCAAGGCTCCTGACTGAATCTCAGTCCTGGGGCTGCAGTCCCCATACCAGGCTCAAGTCACCAGCCATCCAGAGCACGGACAGAGGGCACAGAGCTCCACAAACAGGACCCTGAGCTGGGACTTCCCAGACCTCTTCCCTTCCTCAGCCTTCAGATGCCCCAAGTCCCAGATCTCAGACACCCACTCCTGCGCACTCCTAATTTGGACTTCACACCATGGCTGGCATCCCTGACCATCCCTCAAGCCCAGACTGCCCCCAGGATGTCCTTCCAGGCCTTAGCTCCCACCCTGCTCCCAGGTGTTGGAGACAGTGGAGAGGCTGGGTGAGGCGGTGAGGACAGAGCTGACCACCCTGGAGGAGGTGCTTGAGCAGCGGACGGAGCTGGTGGCTGCTGCACGTGGGGCTCGACGGCAGGCGGAGGCTGTGGCCCAGCAGCTGCAGGGGCTGGCCTTCTGGCAGGGAGTGCCCCTGAGCCCCTTGCAGGTGGCCGAAGATGTGTCCTTTGTGGAGGAGTACAGGTGAGGGCTGCTCTTCCCACCCTGCATGCCAGTGGTTCTCAAACTTGGTCCCCAGGAGGACAGCTGGTGACTTCTGGAGACAGTTGTGCTTGTCACAGCTGCGGGGCGTGTGTGCTGCTGACCCCTGGTGAGTGGAGCCCAGGGATGCAGCTCACCACCCTGCAACACATAAAACGGCCTCCTCCCACAGCAAAAGATGACCTCACCCCAATGTCAATGATGATGAGGTCATGGATGAACCCTGCTGTCGTGGGGTAGGTCATGTGACCCCGGCCCATCCTCACACTTCCCACCCCACCCCTTGCCCTCGCCCATTTGTGAGATGACAGTGCCACTCGCGTATTCACTCACTCATTCAGCATGTCACCCTCTGACTCCATCCAGGAGGGACCTAGCAACTCACTCGTCCACCTGGGTGATATGTGTATTGGTTCCACAAATGTTTAGGTAGCATGTTCTGGTGAGAGAGATGGCATTCCGACACAGCAAGGAACCTGAGCTCTGGAGCCAGGCGGCCACTCCCTAACCATGCAACCTTAAACCATGCAGTACTTTTCGTGCCTGTGCCTCAGTTTCCCCATCTGTGAAGTGGGACTCGAGTATTTCCCTCATTGGCTTGTTGAGGATTGGATGAGTCAGCATCTGGGGACCCAGAAGGGTGTCCAGCTCACAGCAAGCATCACACCGGTGCTCGAAAGTGCAGATACTCCAGCTAGTTGGGATGGGACCATGAGACAGCCAGGTAGGAGCCCTACCTATGTAGCCTTGAGCTCCAGTAGAGACAGCAAGAAATGAACACATGAGTAAAACATATGGCCTGTGAAGTGGCAGGCCAGAAGAGCTCTGGAGAAAATTAAACAGGAGATGGGAACTGGGTGGGACTCAGCCCAGCGGTTTGTTGGGGCATCCAGAGGGCCACATGGAGAAGGTGGCATTTGACTGAGAGGAGGGAGCACACGATGGCATACTCATGGCTTTGTCTACTAGTGATTACTTCATTCATTCATCCAAGGTTCATAGGGGGCCCTGTGCACCTGGCCTGGGGCTGAGACAGGGAAGACTGGGTCGCAGAGGCTGTGCTCCCACAGAGGGTGCTGACAGCTTGGGGAAGTTCAGGTTCTGTGTTGTGACCAAGCTCAGGGGCCATCCAGACTGGGCCTCAGCTCCCCTCTGGGGAGGACAGAGAAGCAGGGGTAGCCATGAGGATGACACCAGGTAGGGCAGACCCACCATCACCAGGAAACACCTTCTGGTGCACCCATATGAGAGACTGAGTGCTTGGGGGTCCCTCAAGCAAATCAGGGGTCCCAAAGGAGAGTATTGCTTGAAAGCAGGAGGAGGCACCCACCTTGGAGGGGGCGGTGAGGGATGCCAGCCATGGTGTGAAGCCCAAGTGTGTGCGGACTGCAGGGAATGATGCTATTAATTGAGCACTTACTGTGTGCCAGACATGGTGCTGTGGCCTCACATGTATCCTCTCCTTTAATCACAGCAAATTATCCATGATACTTGACTGTTAATTCTTTAGATAATAAGTAAAGTGCCCTTGTTTGTGCTAAGGCTAATATTCCAAGTGTTTTGTTTGTGTTGCTCATTCTACTTGCAGAGACCTTTTGAGCTTGGTGCTGTTGGGCTCCCCATGTTAAAGGTGGGGAAAACTAAGGCTCTGGAGGCTAAAGTTCCTGGGACAAAGTCACCCAGCTGGTTAAGTGGAGGGGCTGGGGCCGAGGCTCAGGCAGCCTCTGCCTCCAGACTCCATGCCCTTGAGGATACGAGTGTTGCTGGTGAACACTCATGAAATGTGCAAGGAGGGACTTTGTTTCAAAAGCCAAGAGGTGGGGACATGGCCAGGCTTGTCCTTCATAGAAGTCATTCCCAAATTTCAGGCTGAAGATCGGAGATTTTAGAGGGGAAAGAAGGCGGCTGGGTGCAGTGGCTCACACCTGTAATCCCAGCACTTTGGGAGGTGGAGGCAAGAGGATTGACTGAGTCCATGGGTTCGAGACCAGACTGGGCAACATAGCAAGACCTCATTTCTACAATAAATTAAAAAATTAGCTGGGCATGGTGGTACATGCCTGTAGTTCCAACTACTTGGAAGACTGGGACAGAAGGATTGCCTGAGCCCAGCAGGTTGAGGTTGCTGTGGCCATGAGCGTGCCACTGCACTGCAGCCTGGGCAACAGAGTGAGACTCCTACTCAAAAGAAGAGAAAAAAGAAGACAATAAGTATTTAGGAGAGGCACAGGGAGTAGGTCTCACCTTGATGGGTGGCTTGAATTGTTGACCCCCTGGAGAGCTAGCCAATGCTATCACAATTGCATCCAGGGAGTAGATCAATCCCTGCCAGGTGCCAGGAGGCTTCTAAACAATGGAGAATTCTGCCGTGGAATCTCCATACTCTGCTATTCCAAGGTCAGCCTCTGGAACAGCCTCTGGAATTTCCCAAGCAAGTACACAATTAGATCAGAAAGGGAGAAAGAAGCCGGGCTCAATGACTCAGCCTGTAATCCCGCGCTTTGGGAGGCCGAAGTGAGTGAATTGCCTGAGCCCATGGGTTCGAGACCTGCCCGGGCAACTTGGCGAGACCTCATCTCTACAATAAATCAAAAAATCAGCCGGTCGTGGTAGCGCATGCCTGTAATTCCGGCTGTTCAGAAGGCTGAGGCAGAAGGATCGCCGGAGCCCAGCAGGTCGAGGCTGCGGTGGCCGGGAGCGGCCACTGCACTCCAGTCTGGGAGACAGAGTGAGACTCCAACTCAAAAAAAAAAAAAGAAAGGAAGAAAGGGAAAAAAAAGATCTTTAATGTGTAGGCTAAGAGAGAAAAATGCTTGAAACTTTCTCAAAAGTTGAAGTGTAAATTCTTGGTTGCACCAGGAGATCCTTGGGACATTCTTGAGAACGAGTATCTCTGCTCTGCAGGGCTGATGGGGATGAGGGCTTTCACAGAGGCCCAGTCACATGTCCACAGTCACCGAGTTGCATGTGGCCCCATCAGGGTCCAGTCTCAGGTGCTCAAGGCCTGTATTTCAAACCTCTCCAGTGCCCTGTCTTGCAATGCACCCATTTCACAGATGAGCTGGGATGTGACCTGAAGATGCTGAACAGGGGGCCTGCATGGCCAGGCTGAGTTGGGGGGGGAATGTGAGGTGCTGCTCAGCCTGGGGCACCCACAGGCAGGTTTGCCACTTAAGCCCCGCCGTGTCCCCTCCCAGGTGGCTGGCCTACGTCCTCCTGCTGCTCCTGGAACTTCTGGTGTGCCTCTTCACCCTCCTGGGCCTGGCCAAGCAGAGCAAGTGGCTAGTGATTGTGTAAGTCCTGGCGGCCGGAGGGACCCTTTGCTAGTCTCCCACCTGGTGCTTTGCTGGCATCTCCTGGTGGGCAGGATGTCATTCAGACTCATGACTCTTACACTCTTACCCGAGGGGCTGTGGTCCTTCTGGGCCAGGCCAGAAACTGTGATAGAGAGAAATGAGACTTAGAGTTGCCCTTGAAGGGGCTGAGGGGGTTGAACCCAGAACAGCATTCCTTGCTGTGTGAAGCCTGCTGAATCATGGAAAACATAACAATCATGCTTGCAATAAAGATGAGGATGAGTGGCCGGGTGCGGTGGCTCACGCCTGTAACCCCAACACGTTGGGAGACCGAGGCAGGAGGACCACTTAAAGCCCGAAGTTTGAAACCAGCCTGGACAACATAGTAAGACCCTGTTTCTACAAAAGATTGAAAAAAAAAACAAAGTAAGGCCAGGCTCGGTGGCTCAGCCTGTAATCCCAGCACTTTGGGAGGCCAAGGCAAGAGTTTCACTAGAGTTTGGGAGTTCGTGACCAGCCTGGACAACATAGTAAGACCCTGTTTCTACAAAAGATTGAAAAAAAAAACAAAGTAAGGCCAGGCTCGGTGGCTCAGCCTGTAATCCCAGCACTTTGGGAGGCCAAGGCAAGAGTTTCACTAGAGTTTGGGAGTTCGTGACCAGCCTGGACAACATAGTAAGACCCTGTTTCTACAAAAGATTGAAAAAAAAAACAAAGTAAGGCCAGGCTCGGTGGCTCAGCCTGTAATCCCAGCACTTTGGGAGGCCAAGGCAAGAGTTTCACTAGAGTTTGGGAGTTCGTGACCAGCCTGGACAACATAGTAAGACCCTGTTTCTACAAAAGATTGAAAAAAAAAACAAAGTAAGGCCAGGCTCGGTGGCTCAGCCTGTAATCCCAGCACTTTGGGAGGCCAAGGCAAGAGTTTCACTAGAGTTTGGGAGTTCGTGACCAGCCTGGACAACATAGTAAGACCCTGTTTCTACAAAAGATTGAAAAAAAAAACAAAGTAAGGCCAGGCTCGGTGGCTCAGCCTGTAATCCCAGCACTTTGGGAGGCCAAGGCAAGAGTTTCACTAGAGTTTGGGAGTTCGTGACCAGCCTGGACAACATAGTAAGACCCTGTTTCTACAAAAGATTGAAAAAAAAAACAAAGTAAGGCCAGGCTCGGTGGCTCAGCCTGTAATCCCAGCACTTTGGGAGGCCAAGGCAAGAGTTTCACTAGAGTTTGGGAGTTCGTGACCAGCCTGGACAACATAGTAAGACCCTGTTTCTACAAAAGATTGAAAAAAAAAACAAAGTAAGGCCAGGCTCGGTGGCTCAGCCTGTAATCCCAGCACTTTGGGAGGCCAAGGCAAGAGTTTCACTAGAGTTTGGGAGTTCGTGACCAGCCTGGACAACATAGTAAGACCCTGTTTCTACAAAAGATTGAAAAAAAAAACAAAGTAAGGCCAGGCTCGGTGGCTCAGCCTGTAATCCCAGCACTTTGGGAGGCCAAGGCAAGAGTTTCACTAGAGTTTGGGAGTTCGTGACCAGCCTGGACAACATAGTAAGACCCTGTTTCTACAAAAGATTGAAAAAAAAAACAAAGTAAGGCCAGGCTCGGTGGCTCAGCCTGTAATCCCATGCCTTTGGGAGGCTGAGGTGAGTGGACTGCCTGAGTCCGCGGGTTCGAGACCTGCCTGGGCAGCAAGATCTCATCTCTACAATAAATCAAAAAAATCAGCCAGGCATGGTAGCGCATGCCTGTAATTCCAGCTACTCGGAAGGCTGAGGCGGAAGGATCGCCGGAGCCCAGCAGGTCGAGGCTGTGGTGACCGGAGCAGCCACTGCACTCCAGTCTGGGCTACAGAGTGAGACTCCAACTCAAAAAAAAAAAAACAAAGTAGGTTGGGTGTGATGGCACGTACCTGTGGTCCCACCTACTTGGGAGACTGAGGCAGGAAGATCACTTGAGCCCAGGAGTTTCAGGCTGCAGTGAGCTGTGTCACTGTACTCCAGTCTCGGCAACAGAGCAAGACCCTATCAAAAAAAAAAAAGTGAGGATGATCACTGACATCTATTGAGGTGGTGAATGCTGCCTCCACTGGCACACCACCCCATGAATCAGGTCCCATCAGTTTCCTGTCTGGCAAGTGAGGCCTGAGGCAGAGGGCCAGGTCTGAGGCCCTTAAGTGGCATGGCAGGACTGCAGGATCCACGCTCTTATTTGACAACTGGTTCTACGTGCCTGATGCTCTTGGCATTCCATGGAACCCTTGCACCCATCATGTGAGGAAGGCTCTTCCTTCTGTTTATTTACAAAAGGGGAGACTGAAGCTCAGAGAGATTGGGCCACTTGCTCAAGGTCACACAGTTAGGAGAAGCTGGAGCTGGGATTCGAACCAGGCTGGAAGGGTCCCGTGTATCCTCTCTGGTCTGAGGATGGGGGTAGTTTTACTGGTGCCCTCACTCTTCCTGGGATGAGAGGTCCTGCTGTGCCTTCAGGCCCCTCGCTGAGGGTTGGAGACAGGTCAACACGGCCACAGTGTGTCAACTCTAGGACTGGAGGCCAGGCCTTCAGTTTGAGGTTCCCTAGGTATCCTACCAATACTCAGCCCCAACACCCAGCCCCGGGAAAAGTCAGGAGGTGAATTTCAGCCCTGGACCTGTGTCCACTTCTTAGAAGTCAGAGTTGGAGGCTGACCAGGCTGTGGGCGGACTTGGAAGTGTTCATGGGAAGTACTGGGCCCCAGGAAAGTAAGCCCAGAGGTTGCCCTCCCAGCATCCCAGAGCAAAGTGGGCAGAGTGGAGCTGGGATGCGGCTGCTGCCCCAACAGCCCAGGGCCCTTCTTCCACCCTGCCCCTGCCCCTCTGAACAGGGACCAGATGTTCAACATGATGTCAGCACCACCATCCCACCCCACCCCCCAACTTTTGTGCCCCTAATTCTGATCCTCCAGGCTCCAGAGGCTGGGGAGGAATGGGATGAGGCTGTGACGGGATTTGGGTGTGGGAAGGGAAAGGCCAGGCAAAGAGATTAAGAACCTGGAGTCCAACTCTCCCTCCCCCACTGCAGGATGACAGTGATGAGTCTCCTGGTTCTCATCCTGAGCTGGGGCTCCATGGGCCTGGAGGCAGCTGCAGCTGTGGTGAGTGCTGGGGGCCAGGCTGCTGGGGTCTGGGACTCAAGGGGCCTTGGGGACTCCAGGGGCCTGGGGGACTCCAGGGGCCTGGGAGACTCCTGGATCCTGGGACTGGACCAGATCTGATGCCTTAGGCCTACAGAGAAGGGAATGGGGGGATTGGGGGATTCAATCACCATTCTGAGATCTAGGGCTGGTTTCCTGGATCCTAAGGGAGGAGGAGCTGGGGACCTGGACTACTGAGTTTGAGGAAAGAGGGGCTGGGGCCCAGACTCCTGGGTCTGAGGGAAGAGGGGCTGGGGTCTGGACTCCTGAGTCTGAGGGAAGAGAAGCTGGGGTCTGAACTCCTGGTTGTGAGGGAAGAGGGGCTGGAGGCCTGGATTCCCAGGTATGAGAGAGGAGGGTCTGAAGCCTGGACTCCTGGCTCTGAGGGAGGAGGGGCTGGGGGCCTGGATTCCTGGGTCTGAGGGAGGGAGGAGGGGCAGGGCCTGGACTTCTGGGTCTGAGGGAGGAGGGGCTGGGGGCCTGGACTCCTGGGTCTGAGGGAGGAGGGGCAGGGGCCCAGACTCCTGGATCTGAGGGAGGAGGGGCTGGGGCCTTGACTCCTGGGTCTGAGGGAGGAGGGGCAGGGGCCCGGACTCCTGGGTCTGAGGGAAGAGGGGCTGGGGTCTGGACTCCTGGGTCTGAGGGAAGAGAAGCTGGGGTCTGAACTCCTGGATGTGAGGGAAGAGGTGCTGGGGGCCTGGATTCCCAGGTATGAGAGAGGAGGGTCTGAAGCCTGGACTCCTGGGTCTGAGGGAGGAGGGCTGGGACCTGGACTCCAGGGTCTGAGCGAGGAGGGACTGAGGGCCTGGACTCCTGGGTCTGCAGGAGGAGCGGTTGGGACTAGGGGCCTGGGCTTCTGGGCCTGAGGGAGGAGGGGCTGGGGGCCCAGACTCCTGCGTCTGAAGGAGGAGAGAGGCTGGAGACCTGGATTCCTGGGTCTGAGGGAGGAGGCCTGGAGGCCAGACACTAAGTGCTCGTTTAGTGTGTAATTGAGCAGTTTCAGGTTTGAGCCCCTTTCCTGCTGCTGCCCTCAGGCCCTCAGTGACTTCTGCTCCAATCCGGACACTTACATCCTGAACTTGACCCAGGAGGAGACCGGGCTCAGCTCAGGTGATTTCCGTTGATCCAGCCGGCTTCCCCGCTCAGTGGTGCAGGTTCTAGAAAGTTTCTTCCGGTTTCCTGTGTGCCCAGTGCTGCCTGGGGTGGGTGGGGTGGGATGTGCAGCCATCGACCAGGTGAGGCCCACTGCTCCAGAAGGAGACTCTCAGAACCTCTCCAGGTGGACTGGAAGAGAGACTGGTTGAAGATGCTGTGTCGGGGTTGAAGATGCTGTGTCGGGGATGAAGATACTGTGGCCAGGAGAGGGGTGGGCCTCATTGGGAGGGATGGAAGGATTTGGCCATTTGGAGCAAAGAAACAAATACAGTGGACCAGGGGCTCCAGGGAGAGCATGGAGACCAGTGTGGCTGTACCTAGGGCAGAAAGGTTGAGGTGCTGGTGGGGCGGCTGGGTTGTGGGTCTCTGAAATGCGGGTCTCCAGGAGCCCTCCAGGGCTCCAGGAGGGCTCCTGAGTTGGGGCATGGTCCCAGGACCCTGCTTCCCTCTGGCCTTCCCCAGGGATGTCCCAGGCTCATAGCCTCCTCCCCTCTCCTCCCTTCAGACATCCTGAACTATTATTTCCTCTGCAACCAGGCCGTCTCCAACCCTTTTCAACAGGTTAGGGCTGCGGGCAAGGGAACCGGTGTTGAGGGAACCAGGAATTTGGACTCTGAAGGGAGGAGGGTGGGGCGGGGACTGGACTCCTGGGTTCTGGGGAGGATGAAGACACTAGGGGCCCAGAGTGCTGTGTCAGGAGGAAAGAAGAGGAGAAAGGGCTGGGGACGTCGACTACTGGGCCCTTCTCCCTCCCTGTGTCTCCCCGCAGAGGCTGACTGTGTCCCAGAGAGCTCTGGCCAGCATTCACTCCCAGCTGCAGGGCCTCGAGCGGGAAGCTGCCCCTCAGTTCCCCTCAGCGCAGGTCAGTGGGATGGGCACTCCCTTACACGCCAACACAGAGGGGAAGGAGATGAGGCAGGGACTGGACCTGTAGGGAGTAGGAGAGACCCACAGAAAGGGTCAGGTTGGGACTGGGTGCGGCAGCTCACGCCTGTCATCCCAGCACTTTGGGAGGCTGAGGCGGAAGGATCACTTGAGGCCAGGAGTTCGAGACCAGCCTGAGCAGCATAGCGAGAACCTGTCTCTACAAAAGAAAATTCAAAAATTAGATGGGCATGTGGCACAAGCCTGTAGTCCTGCTACTCAGGAGGCTGAGGCAGAAGGGATTGTCTGAGCCCAGGAGGTGAAGCTTACAGTGAGCCGTGATCATGCCACTGCTCTCCAGCCTGGGTGAGAGACTCCAACTCAAAAATAATAATAATTAAATTAAATTAAATAATAAAATAAGGGCAGGTTGGCCCATGTGGGCGGGCCAGATCCCAGTGCTGTAGGCGGGGCCTGAAGAAAGGGCGAGTCAACCTTTATGGGCAGGGTCCTGGGCGATGGGCGGGTCGTCTAGTGTGGGTGGAACCCTGGTTTGTGGACGGGGCCTAATAAGCTGGGCGGCGCCTGGGTCCTGGGCGGCACGTATGAGTCAGTGGGATAACTGCCTCCCCTCCCACCACAGAAGCCTCTGTTGTCCTTGGAGGAGACGCTGAATGTGACAGAAGGAAACTTCCACCAGTTGGTGGCACTGCTGCATTGCCGTGGCCTGCACAAGGTGAACCCCGTCCTCCTCCTCAATTTCTTCTCCCAAGGGGAGCCTCTGTCTCGACCCACAGAGGGACCTCCTTCCTTTCCTCCCATCCCTCCCATTATCCCTGGGAATATCCGTTCATTCTCTGTCTATATTATTTTTCTATCATATGCCCATTCTCTACCTATGTATTACCTACCTGTCACCTCTCCATCTATCATGTCTCACCTGTATTCCTTCCTCCCTCCCTTCCAAATCCCACCCTCTTGACTGCTCCAGGCACCCATTTCTTCCTCATCTTTCCTCCTCTCCCTCCCTTCCTCATAAAGGCTACACTGCACCGTGAGTTCTAGAGCAAAACTGCTTGGATTCAGTCCTTGCTCTTGACCTCCAGCAAGCCACTTGCCTTCTCTGCCCCTCAGTTTCCTCCCTTGTAAAACGGAGATTTGCCAGGATGAGCACCACCTACCCAGCTCTCAAATCATGTGTGCCATTAACATACAGGACAGGCAGGGGTAGGCAGAGCACCCAAGGAGTGTCTGTTGTCCTGCAGACTCACCCCAGTGTGAGTTCTCTTGCAGGCTGTGACCACAGCCAAGTGAGCATCACCGACTATCCATCTTCCCACAGTGAGGAAGGATGATACCTTCTGTCTGTCTCTCTCTTTTTTAAGTCAGAGTCTCTGTCGCCCAGGCTGAAGTGCAGTGGCACAATCATGGCTATCGCAGCCTCCACCTGCTGAGCTCAGGAAATCCTTCCACCTTAGCCTTCTAAGTAGCTGAGATTACAGACACACACTACCACACCCGGCTAGTTTTCTGATTTATTGTAGAGACGAGATTTCGCCAAGTTGCCCAGACTGATCTCAAACCCACGGACTTAGGCAATCCTCTCACCTCTGCTTCTCAAAGTGTTGGGATTACAGACGTGAGCCACCATGCCCAGCCTGATGGGTACCTTCTTTACTGGATGGTTGCGTGAGTTGGAGGGAAAAAAAGGCTCTCATAAAACAGTGGGTGTTATTTTAAAACACACATGACTTTTCCTGTTCCTGAACAGTCTTCCCATCAAAAACCTTGCATGTATGTAGGGTTCATTGCGTGCTGGGCTCTGTTGTATTTTACAGGTGGTTACTCACTGACCCCTCACAATGCCATGAAGAAAGAACTACTGTTATTACCCCATTTAACAGACTTAGCAGATGAGGTGCAGAGAGTCAAGTCACTTGGCCACTGTTACAGAGCCAGCCAGCACACCAAGGAGACAGAGACCTTCTGGAGGGTGGTTGGGACCTCCCTACCCTGGTTCTCAAAGTCAAGCCCAGTCTTGTCCTTTCTGCTTCTGGAATGTCTTCTTCCATTCATCCCCTACCCCTGCTGCAGCCCAGGCCTCATCGCCCCCCTGGAGGGGGAGGATGCATGCCCCACTCAGTCTGTCCCTCCATGGACCCTAGAATAGGGTTGCCAGATTCCACAAACAGCAAATAACTCTTTAAGTATGTCCTGTGCAATGTTTGGGATATATTTATACTAGAAAATTAAATGCCAGGTGTGTGATATTCTAACTTAACTGAGGGTTCTGTATTTGATCTGGCAACCCTACCCCAGAGGGATCCATCTATACCACAGCATGGATCTGAGTTTTTCCTGGTCCTACTCTGGCTCCAGTTGGCCCCCAAGCATCTGAAACTGGCATTCCAATAGGGGGGCAAGGGATAAGCTCTGAATCAATACTCATGCTGAACATGTGAGCTGAGAGTGTAGAGCCCCCCAGGGCTATTGTGCCCTTCTATATAAAGGTAAACTGGGACCCAGCCACTTCTTCATCGTCCTGGTCAAGACTAGGCTGGAATTCAGGTCCCAAGACACCTTTGCAAATGGAAGGAAGAAGGGAGAGAGGAAGACAGAGTCTCTATGCTTCACTGACTAATGCACCATGTGACCCTGGCCCTTGGGGTCCCCACCTATTAAAATCAGGGGCAAGGTATCAGGAATGAGTAGGAAGGCGGGTGGGCACTAAAACCTAAGAGAATCCATTCCAATCTCAGCTCTGCTCCTCCCAGGCTGTGTGGCTCTGGGCCAGTGGCCTGCCCTCTCTGGATTTCAACTTCTTTCTGACACTGCAAAAGGCAGCAGTGTGTAGAAGGTTGAGCTCCACCTTGTAGGGTTGTTGGGAGGATGAGGGACATTGTGTGTGTGCCAGACCCTCTCAAAACAAAACTCCCCATCATCCTGGCAGACCTGGCCCTTCCTTGTTGAACGACAGCCCCCCCATCCCACTCAGGTGCTCCAGTCAGAAACTCAAGAATATTCTTTTAGGTCGGGCATGGTGGCTCAGGCCTATAATCCCAGCACTTTGGGAGGCTGAGGTGAGAGAATTGCCTAAGCTCATGGGTTTGAGACCCCTTGGTGAGACCTCGTCTCGACAATAAATCAAAAAAGAAAAATTAGACAGGTGTGTTGGCTCATGCCTGTAGTTCCAGCTATTTGGAAGGCTGAGTTGGAAGGATCACCTGAGCCAAGCTGGTCGACGCTGGGATGGCCATGATCATGCCAATGCACTCCAGCTTGGGCGACAGAGTGAGACTCCAACTCAAAAAAAAAGAAAAAAGAATATTCCTTTTGCTTCCTATCCTTACCTCCCACAACCATCCCAATAGCCAATTCTCTTGGTCCTTTCTCTGAAACCTAACTGGATTCCAACCACTGTCCACACCACTCCAGCTGTACCTCACCACCCACCTCCTGACCACAGGAGCCTCTTCCCAGTCCCCACTGGCCTGCCCCATCTGTCCTCTACACAACAGCCAACAGCCGGGTGATCCTTTTAAAATGCAATCCGATCAAGTTCCTCTGCTTAAAACCCTCCAGTGATTCCCCCTGCCCATGGATTAACACCCCCCCCTTGCCCTGACCCATAAGGGCCTGTGTGGTCAGGCCTGGCCTCCAAGTCCCTCTCTGGCCTCAGCCCCCATCTCTGGCCTCAGCCCCTCCCAGCCCAGCTGCCTGGATCCTGCTTGTGGGCCCCATCCCTGCGGACAGGGCCATCCACGCCTTCCTCTCATCAGGGCATCATGTTTACTGAAGCTTTCTGAGACCATAGCAACCACTGCTGAATGAATGAATTAGGGCTGTGTTATCCTAAGCCAGTGATTTTGCCCCCAGGGACACTTGGCAAAGTGTCGAGACGCTGTTCCTCGTCACACTGCCGGAGGGGGCGTCCCTGGCATTTAGTGGGCGGGGCAAAGGGCGGCGTCCTCAGGGCAGAGAATTATCCGGCTCAAACTGTCAGTAGTGCCCGGTTGAGAAACCCCGCGAGAGGCCCAGGCAGAACGGGCGCGGGGGCTGGGGGCTCTCAGTGGCGCAGAGGAGGCCGCGGGTGCTGGGGGTTATGGCTGCTGGGAGGGAGGAGGGGAAAGGGGCATTGGGAGGCCTCAGGCTTCTGGATGGATGGAGCACTGGGTGCAAGTCTCTGAGGGGGTGAAATGGTGGACTGGCCCTGGATGTGAGTGTTGACGAGGGAGATGGGGAGGTGGGGTCTGCAAGAAAGGGGAGTCGTTTGGGCGCGGTGGCTCACGCCTATAATCCCAGCACTTTGGGAGGCCGAGACGACAGGGTTGTCTGCGTCTAGGGTTTGAGACCAGCCTGGGTGACTTGGTGAGACCTCGTCTCTACAATAAATCAAAAAGTTAGCTGGGCGTTGTGGCGCATGCCAGTAGTTCCAGCTACTTGGAAGGCTGAGGCAGAAGAATCGCCTGAGCCCAGCAGGTCGAGGCTGCGGTGGCCGTGAGTGTGGCACTGCACTCCAGCCTCGGCGACAGTGGGCGATTCCAACTCAAAAATGGGGAAAAGGGGGGGGTCGTGGGGGGTGCAGCTCGGGAGAGGCCCAGGCTAGAGGCTGGGCGCATCCTGGGTGCCAGGCCCATCCCACCGACGGCCTCATTCTGTTCTCAGAACAACCCTTGGGAGGGGCGAAAACTGAGGCACAGAGGGCAATGCCTCGCGCAGTACCGCACAGGCGATGCACGGGGGGTGCGTGGGTCGGGGGCGCGGACTCGCCTGATGGCGCCCTCGCCCCCAGGACTATGGTGCGGCCCTGCGGGGCCTGTGCGAAGACGCCCTGGAAGGCCTGCTCTTCCTGCTGCTCTTCTCCCTGCTGTCCGCGGGGGCCCTGGCCACCGCCCTGTGCAGCCTGCCCCGCGCCTGGGCCCTCTTCCCGCCCAGGTCAGCAGGGGAACGAGGGCAGGGGCCCGGGGGCGGGAGATCGAGGGCGGCCGCCACCCGGGGACCGCCACTGGGGGGGTGCGACCTCCTGATGGGTCCCCCATCCTGCCTCTCTGCCACACCCCGCATCGAACCCCAGTGACGACTACGACGACACAGACGATGACGACCCTTTCAACCCTCAGGTACTGACTCCCGGGTCCAAGGGAGGCTGGGGTCCTGCCCGCCCGCAGCGCAAGGCCGGCCTCCCGCCGCACCCCTCCGCTCATCCCGGCTCTCCCCGCAGGAATCCAAGCGCTTTGTGCAATGGCAGTCGTCTATCTGAGCCCCTCCTCCCTGCCAGACTGGAGCCCGTGTCCCCTCCTCGGTGAGCTTCCGGAGGGATACCCCAGCTCCCGCGGCCCGGCCCCCTCCCCGCCCCAACTCAGAGACGCTCCGGGTGGGGAGCGTGGGTCGCACCCTGGAAGCCCGCCGGCTGGCCTCACTGCCCTGTCTCTGCCTCTCGCCGCAGTTCCTTCCCTGGCTGCCAGAGGAGACCCCACTAACGCGGCCTGCCTGGGCTCTGACCACTAACACTCCTAGACGCCAGGGGCGCTTCCTCCTGCAGCGTGTCAGCCCACAGCGTCTCCACATATCGCCAACCTGGGCTCCACCCACTAGATGCCTGCACAGGACAGCCTGCCGCCCTGGCCCCCCGTGTCCCTGGACCCTATGTCCCCATCTCTGTCCTTGGCTCTGGCAGTAGCTGGGGGGACAGATAAGGGACTAGGTCTGGCACGGGAGGTGGCAGACAGACAGCCCCGCACCCCTCATCCCCAGCAACCAGTCCCATCCTTGGAGGGACTAAGCTGGGGGTGGGGGATCCGAGTGCCCCCTGCCACCCTGCCACGTCCCAGTGGGCTCTGGTCCCCTGATCTCAACTTGTGGCACTAACTTGGAAAGGGGTTGGTTTCAAATAAAAGGGAAGACTTTATTTTACAAGTAGCTGGGTCCTCCTTATTTCTCCCCTCCCCTGATTCGACCTCCTGGATGAGGCTAGGGTCTCTTTACCCTCTGTGTCTCCTACTGGCTTCACAGCTGCCAGGCGGTTCCACTCCTGTCCAGGCTCGGTGGGGCTCCACTGAAATTCTTAATTAAAAAAAAAAAAGGTTTGTGACCCGCCTGGGCAGCGAGACCTCATCTCTACAATAAATCAAAAAATCAGCCGGGCATGGTAGTGCACGCCTGTAATTCCGACTACTCGGAAGATTGAGGTGGAAGGGTTGCCGGAGCCCAGCAGGTCGAGGCTGCGGTGGCTGGGAGCGGCCACTGCACTCCAGTCTGGGCAACAGAGTGAGACTCTAACTCAAAAAACAAAAAAGAAGCTTTCTTCCCTGATTCTAAAAGTAATACACGTATCCTGACACAGGAAGACACAGACGTCTCTGGCACAGAATAGATGGCCTAGAAATAGATCGAAGTGAATATATATACACACACATATATATGACAGAAGACAGATTTCAAGTCAGTGTGAAAAGAACCGTTAGTTTAGCAGCAGTGCTGACATATTGGCTCTCCTTCTGGTCAAAATCTATAGACGAGATTGGTGAAAAATCTAGATGTAAAGGAACAAGTATTTCAAGAAAAATTAGGAGGCTGGGCGTGGTGGCCAGGGCTTGTAGCCTCAACTACTCAGGAAGCTGAGGTGGGGTGAGAAGATCGCTTGAGACCAGCAGTTCAAGACCAGCCTGGGAAACATAGCAAGACCCCATCTCATCACTACAAATGATTACAAAACTAGCCAGGCACGGTGGTCTGTGCCTGTAGTCCCAGTTACTCAGGTAACTGAGGTGGGAGGATCATTTGAGTCCAGGAATTCAAGGTTGCAGTGAGCTATGATGCCTGGGCTATCAGAGCAAGATCCTGTCTCAAAAATAAATAAATAAATAAATAAAGTGCATGACAAAGCCAGAAAGGAGAAGACAACTTATAGACAACTTATTTAACAAATCATGGATTGGAAAAACAAAAAACAAAAAACAGCCAGGCACAGAGATTGCCTGAGCCCAGGAGTTTGAGACCAGCCTGGGCAATTTGGTGAGACCTCATCTCTACAATTAATTGAAAAAAAAAATTAGCCAAGTGTGGTTGTGCTCTCCTGTGGTTCCAGATACTTGGAAGGCTGAGGTGGAAAGATCACCTGAACCCAGGAGATCGAAACCGTGGTGGCTGTGAGTATGTCACTGCACTTCAGCCTGGGTGACAGTGAGACTCAACTCAAAAAACCTAAAGTCAAATGGCAAATTGATAGTTTGGGGAAAAATGCATGTGTGTGTTTTAACAGTTACGGCAAAGCAATATATTATTCTTAGTTGTTTTTTTTTTTTTTTGAGTTGGAGTCTCACTCTGTCGCCCAGACTGGAGTGCAGTGGCCTCCAGGCCAATGCAGCCTCGACCTGCTGGGTTCCGGCGATCCTTCCGCCTCAGCCTTCCAAGGAGCTGGAACTACAGGCGCGCGCTACCACACCCGGCTAATTTTTTGATATATCGTAGAAATGAGGTCTCGCCAAGTTGCCCAGGCGGGTCTTGAACCCACGGGCTCAGGCAATCCACTCACCTCAGCCTCCCAATGCGCGGGATTACAGGCTGAGACACCGAGCTCGGCTTATATTATTCTTAATATACAAATATAATCTACAAAAGCTGCCATAAACTAAGAGCAATACAACTCAATTTAAAAATAATCATCTGAAGCGAACATTCAGTAAAGTAAAAATCCCAAGTGTTACAGCCCGATCCAACATATCAGCTGCTATCCCTCGTGGCCAATTAAAATATGAGGGGCCCACTGGGTGCAGTGATGCACACCTATAATTCCACCACTTTGGGAGGCTGAAGTGAGAGGATTGCCTGAGTCCATGGGTTCAAGACCAGCGTGGGCAACTTGGTGAGACCTCATCTCTACAATAAATCAAAATTTAGTCAGGCATGGTGGCGTGTGCTTGTAGTTCCAGCTACTTGGAAGGCTAAGGCAGAAAGATCGTCTGAGCCCAACAGGTCGACGCTGTGGTGGCTGTGAGTGTGCCACTGTACTCCAGCCTGGGCGATAGAGTAAGACTCTGACTCAAAAAATAAATAAGATAAAATAAAATACGAGAGGCAGAGACTGGGAGGCTATAGGGAGACAGGTTGGCAAACTTGCCAAAAAGCCTGCTCAAACCAACACAAATTCACTCTAGTATTTATACCTCAAACTCACATCCCTTCACCCACCCTGAGTCTGAAGCCCACGTGTAGTTTTAGCATGAGTCAAGATTTAGAGGAACAGTTTTTGGTATGTGACCACTGATGTGACACAAAGTCTCCTGGTCGTGTCGACATTTTAGATAACATTTTGTAACTTACAATATGTTCTTTTGCAGTTTTTTTAGAGGGAGGAGCAGACAGTTGCAATATTTGGACAGAAGGGAACACATAACTGTAACAATCTCTAATTTCCAGAGCCCTGGCCTATAACAGTCCAATGTCCTTGTATTCACAGATGGAGGGAGAAGGGCAGGGCCCACTGTAAGCTTTCAGACACACTCCTGCCAGACTTGGACTACTCTCCTCATCACTGGGGGTCTGGCTTGCCGGCTGTTTCTTTTTCAGCACCAGCAATGGCTACTAGATAAGTCTGGCCAGTTGGGTAAGGCCATGGTAGGAGAAGAGAATAAGATAGGAAAAAATGTCCACCTTTGAATTCAAGTGACCTTTACGTTTAGCCCAACTCAACTGCAAAAGAATACAAGGTTTTAAGTCTTTTCTAAATGACTGTTCTAATATCACCAAAATGACCTCTTTTCAACCTATAACACCAGTAAACAGATGAAAAGACATTCAAACTCTAATAATTAGGAAATGCAATTTGAAAAAACCAGAAACTCCTTTTTTTCACTACTTAGTTGTCATATGATTTAAGGGTAGGGACATCCTGGGCAGGCAAGGATGTGGAGGAACAGGCACTCAGACACATTGGTCCTGAGGTGCTGCCATCCCTTAAAAAAATATAAGGTTGGGCATGGTTGCTCTCACCTGTAATTCCAGTACTTTGGGGGGCCAAGTCAGGAGGATTGCTTGAGGCCAGGAGTTTGAGAACAGTCTGGGTAACATAGTAAGATCCTGTCTCTACAAAAATACATACACATATATGTATACATAAAATATACATACAAATGCATATAAAATACATATATAAATATATATATCATCTACTCATACGTGATCAAATCAAAACTATATATACTTCTATACTTCTCTCCCTAACAATCTTGTTTTTTGTTTTTCTTTTTTCTTTTGACTTGGAGTCTCACTCTGTCGCCCAGGCCAGAGTGCAGTGGCATGCTCACAGTCACCCCAGCATCGCCCTGCTGGGCTCTGGAGATCCTTCCGCCTCAGTCTTCCAAGTAGCTGGAACTATAGGCACACGCTACCACACCCAGATAATTTTTTATTTACTGTAGAGATGAGGTATTGCGAGGCTGCCCAGGCTGGTCTCAAACCTGCAGGCTCAAACAATCCTCCCGTCTCGGCCTCCCAAATTGCTGGGATTACAGGCTGAACCACCAAGCCCAGTCAATCCTCCTTTTTGAAATCTACTTACAGAAAGAGACACACAGGCATCTGAGGACTTATATTTACAGCTGTTTGTTACAACAATACTACTTTGATTGGCTAAACCCTGAAAACAAAAGTCCAGCAAAAGAGAAGCCTCATAAATCATTGCACAGCAGAGCTCTCTGGAAGAAACCAGCTCTTGGCTGAGTGTGGAACTTTAAGGAAACTGGCAGAGGAGCACTGGAGCTAGGGTGACAGATGGCAGGGATGACAGACAGCAGCAGCAGAGTACACAGATGCAGAGACCCAGTGAAGGACTCAGCTGTGCCCTCAGACACCCCTGGGTCCCCCATCCTGGCCCTGTTTCTCACAACCCACAACCCTCACAGACGTGGGAAAGTCACTTGACCTGTTATACCGGGTTGCTTCCTCTTCAAATAGGTATCATAAATCCCAAATCCCCAAATCCAAAGAGTTCTGAAGAGCCGAGTCTTCCCCTAACTCACTGGGCAGGTATATCTGTCCTCACTTAGCGTGCGATTATTTACAGACTTTAATCACCCTGTGTGGTGTGAATGTTCACACATTTCCCTGCAGAAATGTTAGCAGGGTTACTTAAAAGTGCTGTGCTGAGTGTTGAGGGTGTTGTGTGCTATGTGGAATAGAGACTACCCTGTCTTTGGAAACCCTGAAGGGAGCCTGGCATGGTGGCTCACACCAATTAATCCCAGTTTCAAGGTCACTTGAGACCAGGAGGGCAAGACCAGCCTGGGCAACATGGCAAGACCTTGTCTCTACAGAAAAATAAAAAAATTAGCCGGGGGTGGTGGCATGTGCCTGTAGTCCCAGCTATTTGGAAGGCTGAGGCAGGAGAAATGCCTGAGCCCAGGAGGTCGAAGTTGCAGTGAGCTGTGATAGTGTCACTGCAATCTAGCCTGGGTGACAGGTGAGACCCCAATTCAAAAAGAAAGAAGGGAGGGGGAAGAGAGAGAGAGAAAGAGAAGAGAAGAAAGAAAAATCTTGAATCCCAAAATGCATCTGGCCCCAAGCGGATAGGGTCAGGGCTCCTTGACCCACACAGTGTCAGATGCCGGTGCCCTGCAGGGACCCTGCTGTGACTCCGTTGCCTTTCAATCATTTCTATGGCATGTACTTTAAGGAATGTTCAGAGGAAGCTTGGGATGCTGGGCCTGAGGCCGACTACAATAGAAACCGACTATGATCTCAGCGAGGGGCTCTAGGGCCACAGGCGTTCATTCACTGTCTCAAGGTCCTTGGAGCTGTCCGACCTCGGGGACCATGCTGCTGCTATTCCAGCCTCTTCCCTCTCGAACACTGCCCTCTAGCGCCTCCTGCAACTGCTTCAGAGGCCAGGCGTCCACTGACTTGTCCAGGTTTACAAAG